TAACATGACTGTCACGCTTAACCCCCACCACGAGGCAGAAAATGGGATGGGAGGAGACTGAAAAGCTTGACAAAGCTCACACCCAGAAGCAGTGCAGTGGAGACTCAAGATGAGCACTCACTCCCCCCACCCCTTCCCTTGGCCGCAGTGCTTTTCCGCTCGTGAACAAAACTTGCCTCTTTCCTTCTTCAACCAGACAGCCATTCGACTATACCACTCTCCCTTCACCCAGTTTCATCATTAGGGAGAAGAAATGTATTAGCTTCACACATCTCGGAGCTAAGGAAGTAGGGACATCTTGGTTGTCGAAACCTCAGGAATGTGTGAGGTTTTAAGCCCAGACCTTGTGCTGTGGCTGGCGGGGGAGCGAGAGGTGGGCCTGGGCTTTATGGGTGCCCCCAGCTTGGCCCTGGAAAGCCTGGGTGAAGGGCGGGGGGAGGTGGAGGCTGTGGGGCGGCTCCGGTGTGGAGGGCAGCCCCATGTGCTCTGGGCTTTAAGAGCTGAGGCATTTTGTGCTGAACCAAGAACCTTCCCACTTAGCTGATTGAATGTCCTTGCTGCACACTGTGGTGCACCTCAGCAGGGGACAAACCTCATCTGATGTGCACACAAACTGAAAAGAGAAAATGGCGTTGGAGGGTTTAATGGAGCAGAGAGTGCAGCAATCCCAGGGCAACTCCAAAGCCTGGGCCAACATTCAGGCTCTCAGCCAAAGAAGGAAAAGTGCTGTGAGTCAGCAGCCTGTCCCATTTTCCCCTGAGGCCCAGGGGCTTCCATTAAATGCTGCAGTGTCCTGATTACTGAGGGGAGGGAGGCTGAAGGAAAACCACCATCCCTGTGCTATCTCTTCTCTCACAGGGATCCCAGAAGCTGGAAGGAACCGGTCACAGGGGAGGGGGCCGGCAGGAAAGGTGATGACATTCAAACACTCTGCCTCCTAAGGCCGTGTCCGAGTGGGCGAGGTAATTTTCTGTTGGGAACCTTCACATGTTGGTGACTGCCTGCGGGGAAATCTTCAGCCCTGCCAGCAACTGCGTGAAGGTTAAGCACCATCATGATCCGATGCTGGTCCAGGGACGAGGCCTCGGCGGCCTGGGTGGATCCCTCTGCCCATCAGCAGACCCTGGCCACAGCCCACATGTTAACTCAGGAGCCCTTGCAGCAGCCCAAACCCCCTTCTGGCCTTGTCTAACTTTGTAAGAATCCTTCCAGATTTCCTTTCCCATCCTTAGTGACCACTCACAGTCTCTTTGCGTAAGAAGTTTGTCTGGAGTTGGAATGCAAGTCTCCGGGCTCTCGATATCAGGCTCAGGGCTTTGTGCACTGACTGTTCTGCCACAACAGCAGAAAGGCAACACCACAAACACCTTCTCATCTGCATCACTTGTCATTTGAATTGCTTGCAGTGCGGAGGCCAGTTTTTGATTCTTTCCCTCTAGCACAAATCCTGTTCCCGGTGTGACGAGGGCCAGTCCCTGGCTCTGAGTCGCTTTATGATGCTCCCAAATTCCTCTCCTGCTGGGTGAAAACTCCATATGCTATCCAGGTGGTGGTGCTCAGAGGCCTCCTGAATGAAAGAGGATGGAGGGCCAGGACCCACATACTCTTATTTTTCTATGGGCTGTGACATCATTTACACAACAGAGAATTTCAGAGGGAAAAGGGAAACCTTTTCGTTTTTTCAGAGGCTGCAGGGAGAGTGGATGGACTTAACAGCTCTTGTCTGTTTTAAGTAAAGTAAAAAGATGCGGTGTTGAGAAGACAGAGCAAGATGTCAAAGTTACTTTGTAAGTGATTCTAAGCTACATAAGCTGGAAAGCCCTTTAGCCTGGATGAAACCAACAATATGGAAACCTAAACAAGCACTGAATAAGTCAACCATGCCGGTCAGGCTCACTCTTCTCTTTGCTCCCATTTACAGCCCTCCCTGTACATACATGATGAAGTTCTAGGGGCTTCCCAGGTCACCCCCTGGGAGAGGTAGGAAGCTGAAGAGTCTCAAAACTGGCTGCAGAGAACCAGCTTTAAATGGCTTTAAAAACCATCCACGCGGAGTCCCCAACCCAAATGATCAGATTCGACTGATCTGGGGTAGGACCCAAGCATGGATATTTTCAGAGGGTAACGGAAGTGGTAAACTTTTATGAAAAAGTATTTATAAAAAAAAAAAAAGTGTAACATCCATACAGTGACGTACGCAAATCTTAAGTATCCAGCTTAATGCATTTTTATAAATGAATACACCCTCCCCCACACCAAGATACAAAACATCATCATGCCCTAGAAGTCTCAACACAGGATTTTTAAAACTAAGTCCTTTTCTGAAATCATTAAAACTCTTCAAGTTGCAAAAGCATAACAACGAACTCAGCAAGGGTATTTAAAAGTCTCCCCTGTTGATTTTAATATATGGACAGGCTTGTTTGCATTAATTGTTGCTTTTGCCACATTTCTGGCCATGCAAAGCCTTCAATGAGGCATGGGTGGAAGGTTTTAATATTCTGTTACTGATTTCTTAACCAGGTCATTACTTCTCAAGGTTCCTTTAACATAGAAATTAATGTCAGCCTCAGATACACTTAATTTTGTTATGTTGTCATTGGTTTTTTGGTAACTTTTTATGACTTGTTTATGATTCACAGCCTCAGCTCTTTCCAGTTATGTATGGACTAGGCAGCCCTTTTTGCCATAAAAAAGAATATCTTATGTGTGCTTGAGAAAAATAAAGGTGAGATTACACTCATTCTTTGTGGGTCAGCCACTGGCTGATGGTTTGCACGTCTGGGGGCAAAATCTGGAGCCTGCCAATAGCTTGAGGGTAGGGATGTGTGAAAGGCAGGAGTCTGAGGAACTAAATACCTAGTGAGAAAAAACAAAAACAAAAACAAAAACAAAAGCAATCATGCCCAGGCCTGGCGGAAATGTGCAGACTGCAGAAGCACAGCAGAGTTACGAGCTTAGGGAGACCAGCAGGAGGAATTCTGACATAGGATGGGAAGGGGACCAGGGAGGAGACAGCAGAAACCCCGGAGCCAAGGAGCTGTGCTGCCATCAGAGGCTGAGACACAGGCTGGCCTCGGAAGGAATCCAGCTGCTGAGTACAGCTGTCAGCAGTAAACAGAGCTGGCGGGTGGGGCCGCAACCCTGTCCACCTGGATGAGGCACCTTATTCTCGTTTGTACAATGGTTGCATATGGACTAGGGAGGCTCCAGGAGCAATGCTGAGTAACGCTGGCTCTGCACAGGCTCGGCATCTCCTTTTTTTTCTCCTTACACAGAGTTCCTAAGAAGCAATTCTTTTATTTTTTTTAAGATTTTATTTATTTACTTCAGAGAGAGAGAGAGAGAGAGAGAGAGAGAAGAGGGGGAGGGACAGAGGGGGAGGGAGAAGCGGACTCCCCGCTGAGCAGGGAGCCCGATGCGGGGCTCGATCCCAGGACTCTGGGATCATGACCTGAGCCAAAGGCAGACGCTTCACCGACTGAGCCACCCAGGCGCCCTGAAGCAATTCTTTACATGGCAGCTGAGTGGCTTTTCCATTCAAAACAGCCAGCTAGGTGGGGCGGCAGCTAGATGCCCACCTACACAGAGGCAAGTTCTGAGGGTGGCTGAGGTTGTCAGGGCCCGGACAAAGAAGGAGAATCGCCTGTAATTCCTTGGATGGTGGGAGAAGACAAGCCTTATGGTGGACATGAGTAACTGCCTGTGTGAGGGTATCTCTGGCCCTGAACTGACCAGAGTTTAAAAAAGGAAAACCCATCACTTGAGCTTGGCACGCCACACTCAGCTTAAGTGTTTGGCAAAGAAAAGTTCTCTTTAGGCCAAGTAACCTATTCCTTATGTCTTCCTTGTTATTGTTATATACAATTTTGATTTGCACGTAACTTTTTAGGTTTATTAAAAGAAAGAGTGTGACAAACATGAATTTTGTAACTCAGTACAATAAAACAAACTACAGTGCATTTGAATACTAAAGTCTACATCTTGTCTTTGATTTCAGCAATGAATCAAATTTACCCATCATTGTTCCCTACCAGAACTAGGTTTTATAGTGAAAATCGCTCTGCTATAAAACAAAAGCAGGAAAAAAGGAAAATGACCCAAAAGTGAATTTTTGAAATCGAATTTTTTACCCGATGATCAATTAGATTTTAGGTTGAACAAAGAGTGAGTTTTTAAAGTCCACATGTGGTTTTAATTTACACAATATTGATAATCTGTAAACTTCAACATGTTTGCTCTCTCCCTCTCTCTCTCTCACACAGACACACACAATCAGAACACCTCCCCTCCCCTTTGCCTTATATATTGAATTTGGTTCCCGGATTCTGTGAACCTCTCCCTGCATTTCACTGTTTGTGGGTGAAGCACCTGGAAGTTCCTGGCTTCTAAGCAGGACAAAGCTTACTGCCCAGAAACAGGAGACCTTTAAGTGTTCAGAGATGGCAGGAACAGCAAGTGCTCAGAAGAAACTGTGGAGGGATCCGGGCAGCAAGGACAGTCGAATCACCTCTTAAGCTCCGCAAACAGATGGTCCGTGACAAGACAGGATTCTTCCTGCTCTCATCCTGGTTCTGAGCTGCCAGCAGAGGCAGGGCTGACATGGGGTTGAGCTTTGGACTGGACCCAGAGGGGATGAAGAAAGGCACTTGCGTGTGCCGGATGTGTATGACAGTCCCCCAAACAACAGTAAGTCCTGTTGCCTCATATGCTGATTACGACCTGTGTCTCCTCTCATGTCCATTTGGGTGGGGACCCCAGAGTTGATAGCACACAGAAAGCCAATGAAAGTGAGCACTTGAAAAACAGCAAAAGGCAATAATATTCCTACAGGACCACTGGCTTTCTGCACTAGAGGTAAATCCTAGATATTACAAAAGGGAAAAACTTGATCACGCCAGTGTTGTTCTCAAACCAGCATTTACAAGACAGGAAAGGGACAGACTGGAGGCTGAAGTAAAATAAAATGGCTGCCGGCTCGCGTCAGGCCAGCCTCTTACCATAATACGGGATGATGGCCCAGGCCATGGCAGAGGCGTAGATGCCACCAACCATCCAGAACATGCAGAGCCAGCTCAGATGCTCCCCCCGCTTCTCTCGGGCCAGCACTTCAGCAAAGTAGGAGAACACCGTGGGAATGGCTCCTCCGATCCTGCCAAGAGGGACAGAGAATACCTGAAATCAGAGCCAGGACAGCTATGGGAGCTGCAAAGGGCAGAACCAAAGCAAGCTCTAACAACACACGCTCTCTCTCTATCCCAGCATATCCAGACATGCATATTTTCTATCATTTTAGAACTTTAATATTATAATCTGCTTAATATAGGGTTACTATCCCTCCAGAACCTGCAATTAAGGGATGTTACCAAAAGGTGGCAGCGGTGCCCTAGTCATGGGATTTATAGAGCTAACCTAGCATAAGAATCTGAGGGGCTTTCCACTCAGGGTTGAATGTTCTACGTATTTGCAAAAGTTACAGCATTGGGTCTAATCTAGTGAATATTTTAATGAACACATTTTTAAAAAGAGAGACTAGGATTTGTCCTACCCATGACATGGTGACTTTGGAAAGAGCTTCAAACATTTCTGGGAGGCTGTCTGCCCTGTGACCCTGCAGCAGCTGGTCCTGCAGCCCAGTCAGGCTGTTGTGCTGATGGACACAGGCCCAATGGGGTTGCTTTCTGGACTGCTCTGGTCTCAACCCAGTAGATCTCACTGCTGCCTCGGTACATGTCTATGCGCACTGGTAGAATCAAATAAGGTGCTGCTGGTTTCCATACCAACAGAACAGGGTACAATGCTTCCTTCCAGTAGGGTAACTCTAAGGGATGCTGACATGAACAGTGACTTCCACTCAGGTTAAGGGTTCTCCAATGAGGGTCTATGGAATAAATATTTTGTTCATTCTAGGCAGATGGGCCTTAGATCTCATCCAAATTTCAAACAGGTCTTGACCACCAATTTTCAAAAAACACTGTCTCAGAAAGTAGGATAGAATGAGAAAACATTACTTACCATCATTCCAAACAGTATATGAATTCTCAAATATTTTTTGAAAGATGTACAATATACACAAACAAGTTACAGAGAAAACACTTAGCAATACAGTTTTAAAAATATGTGCCGATTCCTTTATGTTCAGATTTCCGTAAGGTAAATTGCTATTGACATTTCACGTCAAGAAGTAAAACATGTATTTATGCAGTTAACAATAACTGATTTCCTCAGAGCCTTTGATGTGATAAAGAAGTATTGGCAGTGACCTTAGCAAATGAAATTTAAAGAAAGGCCTTATCTGTAGCAAACTGGGTGTACCAATCGAATCGTGGGATTCATAATGTCATTCTGCATCAAATGGTAGGTCAAAATATAGCACCACTTCATTCATTTGCCCCTGCTTAAAGTGATATGGTGGCTATCTACTGCTAGATATGGGCAGATCACTTAGGCCAATGCTTTTCAATCTGTGGGCCATGAAATTAATTTAGTAGCTATAAACAGAATTTTAAAAATTGAAGTAGAGATGAAAATGGTTACATACAACTCAAGTAATAAGGATGAGTAACATTTCTTTAAACTTTTGTCTTCATGACAAACATATCTATAATGTAGAAAGTACATACATATATGCATATACGTGTCTACATATAAATTTATATATAAACAAATATGTATATAAATGTATATTGTTTCTTAGTGGGAATTGCTATTGTGTTTCTTAGTGGGAATTGCTGTTCAAAGACTTGAAAAAAGACTAGCTTGAAGCATCTCTATCTGCTCCCCTGGGCCATGAATGTGGCAGTTCTACCCCAAATTCCTAAGCTCCACGTGACCTCAGATACAGCACGTGGCGATTTGGCACCATCACACTAGGGGTAGCCAAGCAGTCCAAGGTCATCAAGTGGACCCCCCACACAAGAAAGAAATGCATGTGGTGGGCAGTCAGAGCTGGCTCTATCCCACACCACGTCAGACCCCCACAGTTCTCTCCCTGGCTTCTCAAGGACCAGAAACCATGGACAGCTGGCTGAATTTTAAAATTCCACAAAGCTCTGAACAGATTTAAAGTGGTTTCATTACAACACACAATTTTAATAGGAAATAAAATGGCTGTGCCATAAATCATTTAATGCTCCTGCTTTTTTCATTTGATGTGAAGAATCCGTTTCTCTGCATCATAAAGTCCCAGGTCCCTAACCTATGACTTCGCTTCTCAATGCATAAAAAAAGTCCCAGTTTTTATGGACTTTTCACATCCCAATTAATGTTTCATCAGGATTCTGGACATTCCATATGTTAAGAGCTATCACTCACACTTCATGAAGGCACAATTGCATGTACGATATGCCAGGCCACTCGGAAACGAGATAAATGTACTCTGGGGCGGCTAAAGTGGCAAGTGGAAGACTGTAGACTTGCCTGTTGGCTTACACAAATTATTGTTGTGTAAAAGAATACCAACTTTTAGGGGAATATATAAGCAATCCAGCTGGTTCTGATTCAACGCCTCTTTTTCAAGGTGGTTATTTTTGCATGGATATCCCGCAATATCTATCTGCAAAGCAGATTGCAAAGAACTCTAATACCAATGGACACATGAGTCTGAAGAATGAGTGAGGGAGTGTATTGAAAGCCTTTGCAAAGTTCTTCAGATTCAGAGCCCTACAAAACAATGCAAGCATTCATACTTCTCACTGTGGGCTGATCATCCATTTTAGGGAAAACATTACTCCTCGTGTTACTGTGACAGCCTTTAAGCAGAAAAAAACATTGCAGCCTGCTGTAATGTTAACTATTAGTAGTGTTTCATACAGCGGCAGAGATCTTAAACATTGTTTACACCACACTGAAGGCTCCGTGAGGGTGAGGACTATATCCCATTCGCCTTCGAATCCCCATCACCTGGCCCACAGGACATGCACTCAGTGCTCCTCAAAAGAGCTGGATTGCTCTTGCTGATGGAGGTGCCATGCCAAATGGACTGGAGTAACTTGTTCTGAGGACCTAAAGATCTCCCATGAATGGAAACATACATCTTATGTTCTGGGTCAATGTAATTATGAGAGAAGTTGTGGGTGCCGGAATGGAGGTTCCAATAGCAACAGGGTCCCCAAAGAGTTCCTGAAATCAGTCTATGTCTGAGTTGTATGGGCACCTTTTGACCAGGTGCCCTGGTGACAAAAGTTACTTGGAACCCCTGGGCATAAGACACCGTGCAACCCTGTTCGGCACTCTAGGATCTTCCAAAATACCTTGGTCCCTTAAAGAAAATTGCTGCAGAATGCTATAATTACCAACAATAAAAATTCAGATAAGAGATAAAGCATAAGTTTTCATCACAATATGATTTTGTTCAAACTTTAAGTACTGAAGATAGGAAAAAGCTGCCCCCCCATTTTTGTAAGTAAAAAAAAAAAGTTCTCATTGTTCTACATCAATAGTTCATATTTTGTGTGAGGGGCTATGCATTTTCTGAATTGTTTTATTGTATCAAGATAAAATTTCTGAGAATACATGAAGAGATAACAAATATTTGAACGGCAGTTCTCGAAGTCCCACGTATCAGTGGTTCTTAAATACAGTTGATTGTGTTCTCCCCCTCCCAACAGACGTTTGGCAATGGCTGGATACATTTTTAGCTGTCACAACCAACCAGGAGGTGCAACTGGCATAATAAGTAGAGGCCAAGGATGCTGCTAAAAGTCCAAAAATACACAAGACAGCTCCTTGCAACAAAGAATTACCTATCCGAAGATATTAATAGTGCTGAGATTGAGAAACTCTTGTAATGGCGATTTAATATGGAAAATATACCTTGTTTTATACTAAAAATTCGTAATATAAGGCATGAAATGGTTATCTTTTACATTACCTGATATGTAATATATCTCTAAATCCAGTTAGCACGGAGACCTTTTTATTGTTCATTATATAATGATCAGTTAGCTACTGTTGAAATTTTCTCAAGTTCATTTTTGATGGAATGTTTACATAATGAAGCCATCAGATCAGGGTGGTTTGTAAAGAATTTTTCTCCGGATCAGATATTAAGTCTATTTTATTAACTGTCAAAAAGGGTCAAATATTAATTATCTTCGGTAAAAGGAGGCATAGAGGGAATAATAATTGAAATCCACACTCTATAGAGGTGGAGGATTAGCCAAATTCAAAATAATTGAATTGATACAACTGAAACAGAGCACTGATATTTGGAATTTCAGACTTGGAGTTATTCTTAAGTAAGATTAAGGTTACATTTTTACAACTTTAATTGTAGAAATATAAAGGAATTTAAAAAAATGTATCAAAACACATTCTAGAATAAGTTGGGACCACTCTCCAACCCCACTCTCCAGCCCACATGTGCGCGCGCGTGCGCACACACACACACACACACACACACCCCTCAAAAGGCCTACATATGACTCAATACTAGGCGTCTGGTGAATATCACGAAACATATTTATTTCCCTCAGTAATCTAAGGCAAATTCACCTGTGGGATATTGTGTAAGGCAAAGGGTATGTCAGCTTTACAGACACAGCTTCTCTGTTGGGAACATGAGACACATAAGTGTAAGTCCGTTTAGCGTTGCAGGATGAAAGAGAATGCCAAATACTACAGTCTGCACAAACTTCACTGAGAAACTGGGAAGCCTGACTGTTGGAAGGCTGCAAATTTCGCTGCCACACCTCCCATTACTCCCGTGCAGATGGCAACTCTGGTGGACTATGTTTGTCCCCGTACCTCACCATGCTGACTCACACTGGCTATTGAGGCAAAGACAGGGAAGGGCTCAGGGTTCTGCAGTGAAAGAGGGAGGCCGTGGACAAAAAGAGTAGTTGGACTTAAAATGGCTTGAACTATGAGAGTTTAGAGGAGAACCTGTGGAATGTCTGATGACTTCTCCCAAGGAGGGGTTCTCCTGAGTGATTCTGTTCTGCCAAAATTCCCCAGTAAGCATGTAACAAAGAATACTTTCATTCTAACTTATTTCACCAGGTGACTGTCAAACAGTCTTTCACATCATTCTTCTATCTCCCATTTCCACTGGGAAATGGGGCGTTATGGGAGGACAGAATTAAGGAGGAAGTGAGTATGTGTTGTAAAGTCACATGTTCTATACTGACAATAGGCGGAGGGCAAAGTCCA